GCGCGCGCCCCTCTGGGAGGGATCGGCGCTTTTAAATAAACCTTTTTTCCCCCCCTTCAAAACGCCGGGATACGCCCGCCCGAGCCTTGGGAGTGGAATTCCCTGTGTGTGACTAAGCTGAGGGCTCGTTCGCTTGTTCACCTCCTGCTCCAAAGGCACGGATGTGCCGTGGGAAAAGGAGAGGTCCGAAAGGAGCTGAAAGCGTGGAAATACTGCTGGTGTGTTTACACCGGGCTCCTGGGAGCGATGGATGCATCTGTGACTGCTGGAGAACTTCTTCTGGAGAAGGATAAATTTAGCAGGAGGGGGGGTGGCAGCACAGACCAGGCTCATCTGTTGGACAGCTTATCCCATTCTCCAGGGGATTCCCACATGGAACAGGAGCACATAGCATGATTCCTGCTGTCCCACTAATGCTCTGCTCTGGGAAGGACACACAGAGCTGGGTCTGCAGCTGAGGATTTGGGGCTTTCCCACCTTGCACTCCTTCTTTTCCCACATTTTATGGTCACCAGCAGTTCCAGGAGTGGTGGTCTTACAGTTTTTCCAGTTAAGTCTTTGGAAAAGGCTGTAAATCCTTTGGGTCCAGGCAAGGGTTATTGTCCTTGGGAAACAGGGTGAAGCCAATACATGGTACAGAGGGTCCAGTGATTGTGCTCAGCTCACCCCCCCTTGCCCTCAGGGCTCTGTTCCCTGTAGCACCAGGCAGGGAAAGGGACAGGAGTAATGAAATTCCCTGGGATGTGCTGATTTAGTCCTTCAGGAAATGATTTATGAGGTGTGTTTGTAGTTTTGTGTCTTCCAGCTGGTGAGCACCGAGAGCAACCGCTACAGCCTTGACCACATCTCCTCCCTGTTCTCCTCACAGGTCAGAGCTGGGGCCTCCTCAGGAGGGAGAGACCTGGATGTTGGGATTTAAATCACAGAATCATGGTTGGGTTGGAAGGGACTTTAAAGATCATCCAGTTCCAAGCCCCTGCCATGGACAGGGACACCTTCCACTAGCCCAGGTTGCTCCAAGCCCTGTCCAACCTGGCCTTGAACACTTCCAGGGATGGGGCAGCCACAGCTTCTCTGGGCAACCTGTGCCAGGGCCTCCCCACCCTCACAGGGAAGAATTTCTCCCTGGTATCCCATCTAAATTCCCCCTTTTCCAGTTCGGAGCCACTCCCCATTATCCCGTCAGTACAGGCCCTCTTCCTCTTCTAAGTTCCCTTCAGGCACTGGAAGGGGCAAATAGGTCACCCCAAAGCCACCTCTTTCCAGACTGAACAATTCCCAAAGCCTGTTAAATGACGCAAGGGAACGTTTTGCTGTTGTTAAGTACCCACCTCTCTCCACTGCTGCCCTTAAAGTTTAGGATAAGGAAGGAAATTTGCTCTTTCCCTCTTTCCTAGGAGACTCTGGTTGACTTTGCCTTAACTTCGGCCGAGATCTGGGCGCTGTGGCACAACGAGGAGAACCAAACCGTTGTGAAATACATCAACTTTGAGCAGTGAGTTTTGGGGCTGGGTTGCTGGGATAACTGCAGGAGCAGCTCCTTAAAAACCCTGATGGAGCTCCTCAACTTAAAGATTTATAATCAAGCGACAGGAATGTGAAAAATGTAAAAATCCAGGCAGCAGGATTGCTGGAAGTGGAGTTTGAGCATGGCAGAGGGAGGGCTGTGCTTCCCCAACAGCTCCTTCAAAACAACCAGCTGGTACCTTCCAGGAAAAACCATGTTTTGAGGAGATGGTGATGGGAAAGGATCATCCCTGAATATAACACTGAGAGGGCAGGTTTGTGCAGAACCAGTGGGTGGAAAATGCTGTGAGTGTGCAAATTTATAGAGAAGAAGCTACTGGTCAGTCTGAGAGTTGCTTGGGAGCTCATGGGACGGGGAGAACGTTGATTTAAATGAAGGGTTCTGGGCTGTTCCCTCAGTTTAGGGCTGGGAATGCCACCATTAACCTCTCCTACCAAAACCTGTCCCTTGTCACTCGTCAAAACTCCGGTTTCCAGACCCTGGGGGCTGATTTTGCTGGTGAAAGGCACCGGTTTGGTTGAGGTGGATGCAAAGCTGATCCTGGGTTTGTGTCCTTCCAGGAATGTCGCGGGCCAGTGGAACCAGGTGTTTGTGCAGCCCCTGCCTGAGGAGGAGGTGACAGTCCGACACAACCAGGACCCCAGGGTGAGCCAGCTCTAAAACAGCACCAAAAAGCAGCGAGGTCAGTCAGGAGAGAAAAGAGGAATAAACAAGGTCTGGAGTGGGCAGGAGGCAGTTTTTAATCCCAGGCTGGGGCTGGGCGTGGATAGAAACAGATCCAGGGGACGAGGTTGAGAAAATGGGAGGAAAGATCAGAAGCAGCATCTTAAATGCTCTTCTGATCCTTGAGTTTTCTTAAATCGTCGTCTTTTTGCAGGAAACCTACCTGGAGTATCTCTTCATGCCAGGCCAGTTCTCTAATGCAGCTATCCAGAAGGCTTTGCAGGTTAGTGAGGGGGAATTTGGAATGCCCTCTCTTCCCCTTCTTCTTCCTGGCTGTTAAGACGTGAGGCAACAGGATTCCTTGGAGCTCGTGGCAGGCACCAGTTCTCATTGGGAGCCCCTGAAGGAAGTTAGTGGCTGCTGGGCCGTGCTGCAGCCGGTGAGAGCTGGCAGCTGGAGGTGGAATGTGGTTTCCAGCGGACTTTTTTTTCCCCCTTGGATAGCACAGCAGGTTGCTGAGCTTGTTTTTCATTCCTGCTACAGTAGCCAGGTGAACAGAGACTCAGCCCCCTGCGGTGCTGTTCGTCAGGGTGTGTCATGGAGTTATGGAATTATTAAGGTTGGAAAAGCCCTCTGAGATCATGGAGTCCAACTGTTCCTCCAGCGCTGACAAGGCCACCACTAACCCACGTCCCGAAGTGCCACATCCACATGGCTTTTAATCCCACACTTCCATGTGTCTGTGTATCCCCAATTTAGCATCCGGACATGTTTTATAACGCTCGGATCCCACAAAGCGCTGGCTGATGGTCTCCTGCTGCTTTACCTCACTCAGTGCTGCTTGAACCCTCAGGAAGACTTTTATTTTGCTTTGAAATCCAAGTTTCTTGTGCTGCTTTGCAGATCTTTTCTCAAGGAACTGAGAGGCACCTGGATCTGACGTGGGATGAGTTAAGGAAAGAGGTCACCTTAGCCGTGGAAAGCGAGGTGAGATGGCTTTTCCTCATGGGGTATTTTGTTGAATGCGGTGTCGTGGTCGTTCAGTGGAGGTAAATTAAGTGCAGAGTGACCCCAGGCCTTGGTTTATCCTGTATTTCTCCAAAAGGAATCATGTGACTTTTTAAAAAGTACAAATCTTCGTCCTTCCTGCCAGGATTTTCCATTCCCTCTTGGTTTTTTGGAATCTCCCTGGGTGCACTTTGGTCACCCACCACACAGAGCTGTTGCTCGTTAATTTGGAAGAGAACCCAAAACAGAGGCATTATCTTCCCAAGAGTCCAAATAATAATTATTATTAACCTACTTGAAAGATCCCCATGTCCTTTTGAGTCTGAATTTCCCTCGTTTTATCCCGTTCCTCCTTATTTTACTCTGCCATTCCTGATCCTCTCGTTTTGCTCCCGCTAGTTCCAGGGCAGCGTGACGGAATACGAGTGCTCCCCCGAGGAGTTTTGGCAGCTGCAGGTGGAATTCTGGTCCAAATTCTATGCCTGCTGCCTTCAGTACCAGGAAGCTCTTTCCCGGCCTCTGGCCTTGCATCTGAACCCTTACACCAGCATGGTGTGCCTGCTGAAGAAGGTGAGCCTGGGTGGTGGTAGGATGCCCTGGAGGAGTTCCTCCAGAGGATTTGGGAAGCTCAAGGACTTTCTCCTCACCTTCCAGGGCTCCATGTCCTTCCTTGTGCCCTGCTCCTTGGTGGATCATCTCTATCTCCTCTCCAACGAGCACCTCCTGACCGAGGACGATGCTGCCATCTTTGAAGGTGAGGAGGCAGGGAGTTTTTTCCCTTGTGTTGGGGATGTGGGAGCTTACACAGAGGTCTCTTGAAGGGCTCCAGGTCCACAGTTGCATGGAGATAGTTTTATTTTGGCTTTATAGGGAGGTCTGTTTTGTGAAACTTGCCATCGTGCTCACACCGGGAATTAGAAAATGGTGTCAAGGCTGCAAATAGAATCATGAAATCATGGAATGGGTTGGGCTGGGACAAATTCTTCCCTGTGAGGGTGGTGAGGCCCTGGCACAGGTTGCCCAGAGAAGCTGTGGCTGCCCCATACCTGGAAGTGTTCCAGGCCAGTTTGGACAGGGCTTGGAGCAACCTGGTCTAGTGGAAGGTGTCCCTCCTCGTGGCAGGGGCTTGGAATTGGATGATCTTTAAGGTCCCTTCCAGCCCAAACCATTCCAGGATTTATGAAATATTTTCACATCAGCTGTGGAGAGGGCCCGTGCCTTTCCTTGTCTCCGGAGAGTAAATGCCAGAGCATGGAAAACCTGTCATTAATATTGTCACCACAGTGCCCTCTGTGCTTTGCTGGCCCTGGAATGCTGGTTCACTAGGAAAAAGGCAGTGGAAAATGTTACTTAAGCTCCACTTTCATGCTCGAGTGATCTTTATATATTTTTATAAAGCAGGATCATCATCCGTTCTGTTGAGCTTTTTATGGAGCTGAGGAAAGGAAAGCTGGAGGCCTGGGCTGGATTTGGGAGCCCCAGCAGTTCCTGCCCTGGCTCTGACAAACAGTCACAATCTCAAAACCTGGGATTTAATTTGAAAACTCATCCATAAAGGATTGCAAAGCCAGGCTGAGCCATTTTTTCTGGGATACTTTTTTTGCGCTAATTATTTCCTTTCAACCTGTGGCTCGGAAAAAAAAAAATCCCTTGGAGGGAATTTAGTTGTTTTATTGTGGCATCAGTTTTCATTTTCCAAATAATAAAGCCCAAGTCTTTCCCTTGTCAACTCCTGAGCTCTAATTCAGCCTCGTTGTTAGTAGGGAAGGGTTTGGTGTGGGGAACTGGGACCAGTCTGCTGTTACTGGTGATAGGAGCTGAACTAACCGGTTTTTGCATGGTCTTCCCACCTTCCCTTGGAAATCTCTTGGAAAATACACAGTTAGATTCTTTCATTGCAGATTTGGAGATGTCTCGTGATGTTGTCTGTCTTGTCCAGTGCCTTCGCCTGATCGGAGAATCAATTTCCATGGAAATGGCATTCATCATGGAAATGGCTTGCTCCCGCCTCCAGCCTCCAGAAAAGGCTGCAGAGCAGATCCTGGAGGACTTGATAGCTAATGACACGTAAGGAGATGTCTTTTCCAGAAGCTTCTCAGGATGGCTGAGCTGGGATTGCCCGGAGCTGCCCTTGCTTGACATCCAAGGGCGTTTGAGAAGTGTGGGCTCCTCTCCCTGTGCTGCAGGAGACTTTTCCAGGGATGGAGAGTGTGGTTTGGTGTCGTTAGCAGGGTCTTCCAGCCAGAACCCCTCCAGGAAATAAATTTTGGTGATTCTCAAGTGATCTAGAGAACAGGAGAGGGGCAAATTCCTGTTAGGTGTGGAAAGAAGTGCCTGGAGACAGTAGGGAGAGGTCAGAGATTTGGTCAAGCCGTGTGGTTCCTGTGCTAACCTGAAATCATTCCCTCCTGGAATGCCAACTATCTGGCTGTTATTTCCTGGTAGCCTGAGGGAGTGGAATAAATAGACTGGTCCCTGCAGGCGCTGTAATAAAACTCCAAGCCAGCCGAGGATTCCCGGTAGGAGTGCCCAGGCTGATCAGGTACTGATCCTCCCTGGAAGGGAGCGTAAGGGAGCCCTCTTCAGTTGGAACCTCAGGTTGCTGATGGTGTTGATAATGGTTTTGATTTTTTTTATTTTATTTTTTTTTTGCAGGGAAAACGTGATGGAGGACATTCACAGCAAACTGCAGGAGATCAGAAACCCCATCCACGCCATCGGATTGCTCATCCGAGAGATGGACTACGAGACGGACGCCGACATGGAAAGAGGTGAAAGCCCTTCCCCGGCTTCTGGGAAACGCCGGGAAGGGCCCTTTACCCTGGGGGTTGCTCTCGCCTGTCCGGTTCCTGCCCTGACCCGGGTGGTTTTCCCTGGCAGCTCCGCACCTGGCGCTGCGGATGAACCTGTCCCAGCTGTTCGGCAGCGGCACCGCGGCCCACGTGGTGTGCGGGGGGGTGGCCAAGATCTCCAGCATCCGCTTCCTCATCTGCCGGGACCTGCTCATCCTCCAGCAGCTCCTGCTGCGCCTCGGAGACCCTGTGAGTACGGCCCTCGGAGCTGCTGCCACGCTCCCCAGACTTGGGAATTAGGGGTTCTGCTGGTGCCAGGCTGAGATCTGGCTGTTCCCACAAGGCTGTTGGAATAGCCCGAGGCTTGGGCGAGTCCTCATCTCTCCTCCAGCTGCTTTTGTCTCCCTAAGTAAAGCAGCCTAATTCCCTTTGTTTCGTGCTCAGCATCCAGGAAGCAAAGCTTTGTTTGTGGGAGGAGGGCATGGATTCCAGCCTTCTGTCTGAATCAGCACACATCCAGCTCTCCCAGATATCCCCATCCCTCTCCCACCACTGCTGGCAGCTCCGTTCTCTGGCAGCACACCCCAAGGTCGCAGTTTCAGGCCCTTGGAAGCTGCTCCAGCCGGAACAAACAGCCCCCTCAATGGCAGCTGTGGTGGAGTGGTGGGATGGACTGGTCTGGGTCTGTCCTGTCAGGCCCGAGGCCACGTGAAGGACAGTGCTGCTGGTTTGGACGGACACAGGGATTTGGAACAAGTCCCCAGACAAGGACAGCCTTGTTTAAACAATATTATTTACTTAGAAACATTACTGCAGGAGTTTCCTGATTGAAAATAAATCCTTTTTTCCTGGGTGAGGTTGTCCTAGTAGCACTTAGGGTGCATTGGAAAGTGCCCTCTGGAGCTGGCCTCTCCCACACCATGAGGCATGTGACCTGCTGCTTTCCCACCTTGACACACCTGTGTCCTTTAAAAGCTTGGATTGTTATTTCTCCTGTGACTCCTGCTCTTGGTGGTTGTGGAGACCCTGAGGTGCAGCAAAGCACTCTCAGGGATAGGAGTCCTGGGATGCTTTGTGTTGGAATGGACCTTAAAGACCATCTAGTTCCAACCCCCTGAATTGGGCAGGGGCATTTTCCTTTTGAAAAGGTTGCTCCAAGCCCCATCCATCCTGGGCCTTGAACTTTTCCAGGGATGGGGCAGGAGTCCTGCTGGTCTCCTAGGTGGGCTGAGTTCCCTGCTGAGCTCTTGACCACCCTGGTGTTCGCAGGAGGGACAGGCTGGGCCTGACACAGAACCTCACCAGTTGCTCCGAGTGTGAAGCCAGGCTCTGTGCTTTCCCTGCAGATGGTTCTGGGAGGGGGACAGCTCTTCCAGTCCCAGCAGGACCTGCTGCACCGCACCTCTCCCCTGCTGCTCTCCTACTTCCTGATCCGCTGGGCCAGCCAGTGCCTGGCCTCCGACGTCCCTGTGGACACGCTGTGAGTCTCTACCTGCTCTGCCTTTGATTCCTCCTAAATCCACCTGAAATGCCCTTCCTGGTATGGAAAGCTGGTGGTTGCTGTGGGAGTATTGCTCCAGGAGCGCTGGGGAGGGTTTTTTTGTTTTGTTTTTTTTTTTCCCTTCCACATTCTGAGCTGACTCTTTGCCTTGTGCTAAATCTGCCCTGCAAGGCCTCGCTGTTCTGTGCTCGTGGGAGTTGAACAATGAGCACAATTAAAGCGGGAGGCGTTTTGTTGTCTCTTCACTGATGGCTCCTTTCTTCCCCAGGGAATCTAATCTGCAGCATCTCTCCGTGTTGGAGTTAGCAGACACCACGGCTCTGACACCACACAAGCTGGGTGAGGTGTCCACGGATCATCAACTCTCCCTTTCTGTTATTTAGACCTGTCTCTGCCACCTGAGGGAAGTGCTTTATGCAGGGAGCTAATGGAATGTGTGGTTGAATGACCCTGATTTAAGTGGGGATGTTTATCAGGCTGTCCAAAAAGAAAAAAAAAAAAGAAAACAAACAACCAACAACAAAGGCCCTTGGAGCCTTGGACTCGGGTTTTGCTCTGTGCCTGAGGACTGTGGGAACGCCTCACTCAGCGAAAATTATTCATTCTAACCCCAGCAGCTTCAGGCAAACTCACCTCTCGTGCACTGTACAGTGACTGTAGTGGTCAGACCAGGTCTGTCACGGAATCCTGGAATGTTTTGGGTAGGAAGGACCTTAAAGCTCATCCACTTCCACCCCCTGCCATGGGTAGGGACACCTTCCACTAACCCAGGTTGCTCAGAGCCTCATCCAACCTGTCCTGCTCTCCAACCTTTATCTCAAAGCAACTGGGAGCAGCAGCTCAGGGTGGCGTGAAAATTTAGAAATACTTGCCCAAAACATGCTTGAAAATGTGGAAATACCCCCCCAAACCAGTGCAGCTGATAGTTGTTCCTTATCTTTAAAGTTTTGCTGCGAAGATGTAAATTTTGGGTTGGTTTTTTCGGAGGAGAATATAAGGCAGCCTAATTAGGGGGATGTGGGCCTTGAAGTGGTTCCAGAGGGAGGAGGCGAGCAGGGATGGGGAGGAGACACACAGGTAAGAGCCTGCTGTGACTAGTCAGTGCTTGGAGGCTGAGATACTTCAGAGGGAGCTGGGAAAATCTGGGACAAACAGGCAGCACTGCCACGTGTGAGCCGGGGAAGAGCTTCCTCCACTTTCTGACATCTGTGATCCTCAGAGTCCGAGCTCTCCCTGACGGAGAGTCTGGCTGCAGGAGGCAGCTGGAAATGTCAGGGAAGTTGAAAACATCCTTTGTGTGTGCCAGTGTTGTGGGTTATTTCTTGGCTGGCTCGTGAGGAAAGTCCTGTTTGGCCACTGTTCTTTGGGAAAAATATGTGGAACGTAGGGAAGGAGGTGGCAGCTCTGGGAGAGGCGTTGGGAACAGTCAGTAAGGGGGGGTTTTCTGGGGTGCTGGAATGAGGAGGGAGGCATTTGAGCAGCCAGCTCAGCACTCCCTCAGCCCTGTGGTGCTGGAAAGCTGCAGCTGGGCTGGGAATAACAACTGGAGAGGGAGCACAGCCCCTTTTCTGTGTGTTTTAATTGAGCTGTGGTTAATAAACACTGCGGAACGGGGCTCTTTGATCTCCTGCTGCTCCCTCTGACTTAACCAGACGGCAGGAGAAATCCAAAACCAACAAGCCAGAGTGTGGAACATGCTTTTGGTTTGCCCTGACTTAATCTGTGCCGTTAGGGCTGGTGAGCACAGCACGGGGTGGAAGGCCTGGGATCTCTGCTGCGGGCCCTGTCCTCACTGTTCCTTTCATTTGTACTTTCAGTATCCGGCCCTCAAACCATCGTGGAGCTCTTCTTTCAGGAAGTGGCCAGAAAACACATCATATCCCGACTCTTCCTGCAACCAAACACCTCTTTGGCTGAGACAAGTTTGAACTGGCCCCACCTCATCACCTCAATAGTGGCGGATTTTCTGCCTCTCCTGTATCCTTGGCTGTGAATCCGCTGCCACCGAGCCTCCTGCCATCCCAAAATCGGTTTTCCACCCCCAGATTTCCAAGACAAGCCTCCTGAAGGAGTGAGGTTGCTGGCATTAATGGGATTTGCGGGTATTTTAAGATTTCACGGAATTCATCCCGTTTTAGGTGCTCGATAAAGGATTTGATTTTTTGACTTTAAGCCCCTGAGCTCTCACAACTTGACTTGGCGGGGTGGAGTGTTGGGAGATTTGGAAGGGTAACGGGATTCGGGGAGTTGGGGATTAGATGTACTAATGATTTTGTTCTAATATGGATAAATCTTATTATGGAATATCGACTTGTGTAAAGAGCAGCTTAATCTTCTCTCCTTTCCCCCCACAAACGGAGCTTGAGAGGTATGCTGGCTTCCAGACTACTTCTCCAAGCTCTCCAGGTTGGATTCTCCTGTATTCCTTAACCTCTGCTCAGATGGCCCAGCAACTCCAGCTTCCTCTTCCCGGAGTGCCTGATGGGGAGCTGTCAGTACACCCAGCTGCAGGTGAGTCTTTCACGCTGTCCCTCTCACAGGTGCCAGAAAACTCTCCAAAACATCATCTTTCCAGGAGCTGGAGTTCTGCTTTCCCCTAGTCATGGAATCCTGGAATGGTTTGGGTTGGAAGGGACCTTAAAGATCATCCAGTTCCTCCTCCTGCCATGGGCAGGGACACCTTCCACCAGCCCAGGTTGCTCCAAGCCCCGTCCAGCGTGGCCTTGGACGCTTCCAGGGATGGGGCAGTCACAGCTTCTCTGGGCAACCTGTGCCAGGGCCTCACCACCCTCACAGGGAACAATTTCTTCCCATTATTCAATCTAAATATCCCCTCATTTAGTTTAAAACCTTCACCTCTAGTCACTGCTCTGTAAGCTCAGACAGTGCCAGAGTGTTTTTTGGGGAATGATTTAAGGTCATGGAATCCCAGAATGGTTTGGGTTGGAAGGGACCTTAAAGCTCATCTCATTCCACTCCCCTGCTGTGGGGGAATCATCTTCTGCATTTCCTCTTTCGTCTGTTTTCAAGTGCATCCAGATACTCAGGATTATTCTGTTCCCTTTTCATGGAGGAGTTCAGTCTCCCAGGGCTCATCCGACCACATGACGCTCCAGCAACACCTTTGCAGAGCCTGTTTAAATATCCCAGCAGTTCAGGAGCTGCTGGTGTGCTCACAGCCTTTCCTGTGCCACCTTTGCCCATGGGACCAGGGTTCAGAAGGATTTCTTCAACCCAGCAAGGGCTCATCTGTTAAATGAGCCCTAATGTCTTAGTAAATATCAGTGCAATAAACACCCACCATCATTCCACCCCTGGCTGCTCCCGACATTTCACTAGCAGGGATAGCGAACTCCTGATTTCCAGGTGTCTCAGACTGCTGTATTTCAGACCACAGGTTCTCCACCTCTCTCCCTGTGCTCTTGGCAGCTGGAGCTGCTTCTGCTCTAGTTCTGACCGGCATAATTCCTTGTCTGCAGCTCCACGTGATGGGCTTCATCCCTCTCTGGGCATTCCTGGAGGCACCAGGGCCAGGCAGGCTGTTCATAAAGGCCTGTTTTTCAGCAGAACCTTTTATCCTCCCAGCCCCTCACACCTGGGGGCTGACTTGCTTGCTTTTGTGTTGCTGCCAAGAAGAATGAGAGACGAATTTCAATTCTTCCTAGCTTTTGAGCCAGGAAATGCCAAGATTGGAGCAGCATCCTTCTCCCTCCTGGCACATGCACACGCTTTGAATCTCCCCGTGTTGCTTTCGCCTCGCTGGTGTCTCCTCCAGGCTTTTATCTCAGCAGGAGCCGGCTCCTCCTCCTCCTTCTGTTCCGCTCCCTGATCCCAGTCGGTCACGGAAACTTGGATTAAGTGCCTTGACCCCGGGGAGATAACAGCAGCTTTGCTGGGAGCACGGTGACCCAAATCGTGGGGATGCAGGAAGCTCCCTGCAAGGAGCTGGCGGGCACGGGGAAGGTCTGGTGACCAAGCAGTGGCCTGGGACGCAGGCCAAACTGTGTGTGACAAGCTGTTAGGCAAGCCTGGAGCAGGATTTATCCCTTGTAGCTGCTAATCCGGGCTCTGGATGCGTTGCCACGTGGCTTTGAGTGGACCTGTGGCCAGGGAAGGTGAGGGGAGAGGTGCTGGGGGTTTGTGCACCTGCAGAGGTGACGTGACTTCCAAATCCTGGTTTCTCCTGCCAAGTCCCACAGCCCTGCCAGCAGGACATGGCTGCTGCTCCATGGATGATGAGGCTGCTCTGCTGGCACGGGGCCAGGCTGGGTCCCATTGGTGCCATTGTGTCCTTGGTGTGCCCTTGACGTTCCATCCCACCCCTGTCCCACACGCTGGAATCCACGTGCTCCCTTGGCTGCTGGTCCCCTCTTGCACCTCTTCTAACACCTGCCCGTCGTTCCTCTGCCTTTGCCCTCCCCTCCGTGCTCTGTCCACATTTCCTCTGCAATTCCCTGCAGTGGAATGTAGAAGGAATCCTGTCTGATTTTCAGGGATGTTGGAAGCTGTTTGTCAGGTGCTCGGTGCAGACACTGGGGCTGTTCAAAGCAGGTTGTTTCCTGGGAGCACGGTGGGGATGTCTCTCCACCACAGGGCTGGAGCAGCTCTGCTCTGGGGACACACTGGGACAGCTGGGAATGTTCAGCCTGGAGAAGAGAAGGCTCCAGGGAGACCTTAGAGCCCCTTGCAGTGCCTAAAGGGGCTTCAAGAGAGCTGGAGAGGAGCTTTGGACAAGGACCTGGACAGACAGGACAAGGGGGAGGTACAGATTGGATATTGGGAAGGAATTCCTGTCTGTGAGGGGGGTGAGGCCCTGGCACAGGTTGCCCAGAGATGCTGTGGCTGCCCCATCCCTGGAAGTTTCGAAGGCCAGGTTGGATGGGGCTTGGAGGAATCTGGGCTTGTGGAAGGTGTCCCTGCCCATGGCAGGGGGTGGCACTGGATGGTCCCTTCCAACCCAAACCATTCCAGGATTCTATGATCAGTGCAACCAAGGGGCTTTTGGGGCTGGGAAAACCAGCCCCTGAGCTGGAAAAGCAGGATTTGTCTGAGCACAGCAGCTAACGGGGCCACCAAAAAACAGCTGGTACTGGGTGCCTGCAGATCATGAGCGAGCACTGACCTGGATCCAAACTCCCATCCCTTCTCTCCCGTAGGAATACATCCGCCTGCTGCAGCCGTGGTGCCATGTGAACATGGGCTCCTGCTGCTTCATGATGGGCAGGTGCTACCTGGTCATGGGTGAGGGGCACAAGGTAAGACCCTCCCACATCTCCTCCTCGTGCTCTGAGGTTCTGGGACCTTTTCCCTTGTAAGGGAGGAGGTGCACAGAGAACATCCTTTCCATGCTCTGCCTCCTTTGGGAGAGGATGGGTTGGAGCAGAGTGATGGAATCTGCTTTTGGGGAAGATCTCATGAGCTTGGGAGAGGCCACACTGTCCCCTCACCTGTACAGCAGCTGGATCAGTCACCTGAGGGGGACAGGGAGCTGATTCCAGGTCTGCTTCCAGGCTTTGGATTGCTTCTGCCAAGCTGCCTCAGAGGTGGGAAGAGAGGAGTTCCTGGACAGGCTGATCCAGCCCGAGGAGGGCGAGGTGGTCTCCACGCCGCGCCTGCAGTACTACAACAAGGTACAGTCCTGAGCAGGGGAACCAGCACCAAGTCCCTCCACGAGGGACAGAGAATTCCTGCTCGATCCCTGGCTGGGGAGGGAAGTGACTCGAACCTCAGAAAACTTAATTTTGGGGAGGTGAAACCTCTGTTTACTTGCTTTGGGGGTGATGACAAGGTGAGAATGTGAAATCTAGGTGCTTTCCACCTATTAGTTTCCTAACAGCCAAGGACTTTGGTATCCAGCAGAAGAGGGCAGGATGAGATCCCAGCTGCTGGAAGCAGAAGCCAAACATGTCCAGACTCGATGCAAGATGCTGCCTCAGGGGAAGGTTATTAAGCTTTGAGGCAGATTAAAATTAGTATGTTTAAATTGAGATAAGGATCTTTCTTCTTGCATAATGCCACGGGTCAGGCGGGCTGCGAGCTTGGAGCTGGGCTCCCGCTGAGGGAATTCCTGGATTTAGGATCTAGAAAACTAATCATTAATGTTAAAATGCTTCAAAAATCCCCCAAGTGCAGAGGTGAATCCTCCAGGCAAGCCATAACCTGGACCTGTTGGGCTGGGGTTTCATCCAGGTCCCTGTGATTTACCCAGATCATCCCTTTTCTCAGTCTAATTCCCTAAAACATTGGCAGAATCTTTTGAGCCAGGAGCAGCTCCTAAAAAAACAATCCAAAAAACCCTTTACTCAAGTATTTTCTCCTCCAGGTCCTTCGCTTGTTGGACATGGTGGGTTTGCCAGAGCTGGTGATCCAGTTGGCCACCCTGGCCATCATGGAATCAGCAGATGACTGGAGGAGCCAGGTACGCAGTCACTCTTTTCCAACAAGGTGTTGACTTTGGGAACCTCTTCCACTGGAATTTCCTGCTGGTCTTATAACTGGTTTGTGCTGTTTTCAGGCTACTTTGAGGACCTGCATCTTCAAGCATCACTTGGATTTGGGACACAACAGTGAAGCATATGTAGCCTTAACACAAAACCCAGATCCAGGCAGGTAGGTGACAGTTCATGCCTTTATTTGAGGCACATAGACCCATTTTTCCATGAAACTGAGAGGAAAATGACACTTTAGGATAGGACATGGCTGCTGTGTTAAAGAGTTAATGTGTAAAGGTGGGTTTAAAAAGGCAGAGTTAATTTTTGGATGTTCATTTTGAGGACACCTGGGATGGGGAGGAAAATGGGAGGAAAAAAGTCTCGGAAGAGGCCAAAGGATTGTTTGCAACATTGTGCATTTAAAAGTTTTAGGAGCCAAGTCAATTTACTTTAAAAAAGAAAAGATTTAGAGTTGAGTTTTCAGCTTGGGAAGTTAACTGGCTAGAGGAGGCTTCATCCTAGCAGAGAAGAGTGCTGGAATAAAGGAGGAGAAATAGGAATGCTTTTTAATTGATTGAGGGAGGGAATCTGCCCTCCTGAGAAGACCTTTTCAGAGGATCTCTGTTTCCAGCACTGGAGAAATCTAAAGGGATAACCTGGTCCTAAGCCAGGAAGAATCCCACAGAGCTCATCCCAAAGCAGGAGCTTGTCACAAAGCGGTTGTTTGTGGTTTAAATCCTGCATCCTGGAGCTGGTTGTGTTCCTGCTCCTGGGTTTATTCCTGCTCCTCCAAAGGGCTGTGCTTCCCTCTGCAGGCAGCTGGACTGCCTGCGCCAGCTAGTGGTGGTTCTCTGCGAGCGATCCCAGCTCCAGGACCTGGTGGAATTCCCTTACGTGAACCTGCACAACGAGGTAATCCTGCGCCGGGGTCGTGGGGCTGGGGGCACTGCCTTTAAAGGAGAGGGATTATGGAGCCTGTCTGTGCTGCAGGTCGTCGGGATCATCGAATCCCATGCTCGGGCAGTGGATCTGATGACTCACAACTACTACGAGCTGCTCTACGCCTTCCACGTCTACCGGCACAACTACCGGAAAGGTAAAGCCTGGGATGGCACGTTGTGCCTGCCCACCCACCCGGGACACCCCTGCCCCTGGCCCTGCCAGGTGTGTGGCCTCGCCAGGCTCTTGGCTGACGTGTTTTTCCCTGTTTCCAGCTGGAACGGTGATGTTTGAGTACGGCATGCGCCTGGGCAGGGAGGTGCGGACGCTCCGGGGGCTCCAGAAACAGGGGAATTGTTTCCTGGCTGCTATTAACTGCCTGCGGCTGATCCGCCCGGAATACGCCTGGATAGTGCAGCCAGCCTCTGGAGCTGTGGTAGGAATGCTGGGCTTCCTGCAGAGGACCTTCCAGAATCCTTTCCAGTGCCAACAGAGGCGTTGGGCTTCTTAGTCCTCTGCTCTTGGCCAACTGTCTGGCCCTGCTCATCACCCCTACCTATGACCCTTGTGTCATTCCCCTTTCTGGAGCAGGGTGGAAGCAGAATAACTTATGGAAATGGGCTGGTGGATATATATGGGAATATATCACCTTTTGTTAAAGGGTAGTGTGAACAGCTTGGAATACCAGTTCAAAGGAGAGTTAGTGTGATAGGGATTGAGTTTCAAATCCCAGTCAGGATTCAGGGAGATGGTGGCTGCAGCCTGGTCACCCGATCCTGATGCTCCTGAGAGCCCCAGAGATAAAGTAACCTGAGTTCCCAAGGGGCTGCGCAGCTTCCCTGATCCAAATCAAGGCTCCTGTTGGGATTTATCCTGTCAAAGTGATTAATCCTTTGGAAACCAGGTGGCTAATAAACCCTTCTTCTGCTTTTTCCTACAAGTACGAGCGCCCAGGAGCGTCCCCAAAGAGGAGCCACGACGGGGAGTGCATGGCTGTTCCCAGTAAGTGCCCAGTCCTGGTCCTTCCTGTGCCTCTGGAGCTTCCACAGCCTCTCTGCTGCTCCCATGTGAGCTGGGAGATGGCTCAGGGCAGCTCTCACCTCCACTGGATCAATAATGGGGGGGGATTTTAAGGTTACTGACTCTCCCAGTGTCCCATTTGCAACACACTGCCACTGTTCCCCAAGGAATACAGCTCTTTCCCCAAGGAATACAGCTATTCCCCAAGGAGCTCCTGTGCACGCTCTCAGCAGTTTGATGCCTTGACAGTGCTTTTTTTTTCCAGTGGAAATAATTTGTAATCAGGAAAAAAAAAAAAAAAACAAACACCCACCTTTTTGAGGCATTTTCTGGTTGTTCAAGACTGTTTGTGCCCTTGGAAATCCTGTCAGGAATAAGCTCTGCCTGTGTGTGCCACGGCCCAGGATGTGGGATCAGGTTATCCTCAGCCTTCCGGTGGGAAAATTTAAGGTCAGGTATTTTTAAACCAGCTCTTTCTGAAGAGTTTTTTTTTTTGGTTGGCTTTTTTTTTTTTTTTTTTTGTGGCGTGTGCCTGGCAGGCAAAGCAGCAGCTGTTCCTAAATATTAGATAACATCTGGAGGAGGAGGAACAGGAGGATGGTGTCAAGGAGAGAGAGCACAGTCAAGGGACTAGGGAAAGGACAGCAAATCCTGATCATTCCTGTGGTTCTTTTTGGGGCACAACTCTTAGGGTGGGAGAGGGGTGTGGAGATGGTTTTATGAGGGCATGAAGGCTCCAGGGAGAACTTAGAGCCCCTTCCAATGCCTAAAAGAGCCCCGAGAGGGCTGGAGCCCTTTGGAAAAGGGTCTGGAGAGACAGGACAAGGGGGAATGGCTTCCCACTGCCAGAGGGCAGGGTTAGATGGGATATTGGGAAGAAATTGTTCCCTGTGAGAATGGTGAGGCCCTAGCACAGGTTGCCCAGAGAAGCTGTGGCTGCCCCATCCCTGGAAGTGTTCAGGGCCAAGTTGGACAGGGCTTGGAGCAACCTGGTCTAGTGGAAGGTGTCCCTGCCCATGGAACTGGATGAGCTTTAAGCTCTTTTCCAACCCAAACGATCCCACGATTCCATGACATTCTGCACAGTGCCCAGAGAGCCCTTTTTGGAATGTTGAGGGCCTGGTATCCATCTGTTCCAGCCACTCGCCAGATCGAAATCCTGGAGCTGGAGGATTTGGAGAGGGAATGTTTGCTGGCCCGGATCCGGCTGACCCTGGTGGAACACGACGTGTCAGCAGCTGCTGTGGCAGGTGAGAGGGATTCAGCCTCTTTGTCCTGACCCAGGGACAAACCCAGGAGCTGGCAGGGACCACCCAGTTCCCACCCCTCCCATGAAATCCATCCACCGTTGTCAGAGAGGCACATCAGGAGAACCAGTTTTATGCTTTCTGCCATTTTTTGGCTTTTCCAAGCTCTAGTGGTCTGCAGGGAGTGTGGGATGAGCTGCTGAGTTGGGACAAAAAGGCAGGTTTTTTTATCTTGCTGGAAATCATGGAAACATAGAATGATTAAGGTTGGAAAAGACCTCCAAGATCATTTGAGTCCAGCCTTTTTAATTGAAGAGTAAATGATTTTCCTGGACAGTCCTGCTTCATGGAAGAGTGTTAGCTCATCAAAGCTGTTCCTTTTTGGGCAGCACGAAGGTACAGCTCTCCCACCCTGGGCCTTTTAGTGTCTCTGATAAAAGTTACACAGTGTGTAACTTTCTTTCCCCTTTAAATGTCAGGAGGAGGTGACTTCCCAGCAAGGGATTGCAGGGAAAGGAGGGAACAGCTGCTTTGAGGGCAGAGTGGAGACGCAGGGAGCCGAATGCCGCAGTTTCTGTGCTGGCAGAGCTGAGCTGGTGCCTTGTTTGCTTGGATACAGAGCTGTGACGAGGCTGTCCCCTCCCTAGCCTTGATGGTCTTGATCTTTTCCAAATAATTCCATGGTTCTAAACAGCAGCACTATTTGCCTGCAGGCCGTATATTGCTGCCTGTGTCCCTCTGCAGTCCCTCTCCAGGTGATGATGGATCAGGGCCAGCTCTGTGACTCACTGCTGCTCTGTGCAGTCCCTCCAGGGGATGGCTCCCGGGCTCATGAGATGCTCTGGAGGCCAGGAAAACCTCCAGCCATGGATTGAGAAGTACTGCTGCGGGGTGTTTGAGGCTGTTAGCGCGGTGCTGCTGCAACTCTCGATGAGTAACACGGGGTGAGGCCCCAGTAAAGCACTGGGGTGTTACTGGGAGAGGCTTTACCTGGTCCTCCTTCCCTTCAGGCAACTCCACGCCCGAGGAAACGGTGTCTCTCCTGGTCCGGGCCGGACTCTTCGACTCTGCCATCACCCTGTGCCAAACCTTCAAGCTGCCCTTGACGCCCATCTTTGAGGGCCTCACCTTCAAGTGCGTGTCCAGGTGTTCTCCCACCTCGGGGGATGTGGGGCTGGAGGGACGCAGTGGTTTCGGGGTGGAACTTGCCCTCAGAACATTCTTTTCCTGCCAATCCAGCTGATTCATGGCTGTTCCTTGGGAATAGTCCTGCGAGGGGTGGCTTTGATGGCAGTGGGAAAGGGCTGGGCTCTGGAGGGACCCACATTTCTGTGGTTTTTGGTTTTCATGCAGGTGCATCAAGCTCCAGCTGGGAGGGGAAGAGGCGCAGGCCAAGGCCTGGGACTGGCTGGCAGCAAACCAGCTCTCGGCCCTGGTCACCACTAAGGAGTCCAGGTAGGTCTGTGTCCACAGTTTGGGAGGAGGAGGAGGGTCTGGAGACAGGAGCCTTTTGGAATCCAGAGTGTTGGGGGTCCTTAACAACCCCTCAAAGCAGAACCGTGTGACTGGGATATGGGGAGAGCAGTGTTTCCGTGCTGTCCCCACGTCACCTGGAGCACACCGTGGCCTCCCAGACAGTGGCAGGAGGTGCTGGCACGTGTTCCAAGGGGAATTGTTTCCTTGCAGTGCCACGGATGAAGCCTGGAGGCTGCTGTCATCCTACTTGGAGCGTTACCCATCCCAGAACAGCCTGTACCATCGCTGCGTCATCAACAAGCTCCTGGCACACGGGATCCCTCTGCCCAACTGGCTCATTAACAGCTACAAGGTGAGAACAGGGAGCCAGCTGTCCCAAAATCCCACTTGTCCTAGAGCTGCCGGATCACTCTCGCTCCCTCAGACACCTGCCAGCTCCACCCCACCTTCCTACTCCCAGCTCCAGGCCCTGGAGCCGAGTGCCCTGTTCCTGGGACCGAGGCTCGGAGCAGGTTCCTCCCAATGCGGTCCCAGCTCCTGGTCACACTCCCTGGCTGAATTTCCCTTTTTTTTTTGGTAGGAAGTGGATGCTGCCGAGCTGCTGCGCCTCTACCTGAACTACGACCTGCTGGAGGAGGCCGTGGATTTGGTCCTGGAGTACGTGGATGCTGTGCTGGGCAAAGGGCACCAGTATTTCGGGATCGAGGTGAGCTCACCCGCAGGCGGGATGTGGCAGGGGACGTTCCTTGGGGACACAACACGAGAGCTCCTGTCCCTTCCAGGTGCCCCTGTCCCCAACATCCCCCACGATGTGGCTTCCCTACACTGCCATTGACCAGCTGCTGCAGGCGCTGCGGGAGAGCTCCGCCAACGAGAACAGCGTCGTGGTAGGTGCAGAGTCCCCAAGCTCCTGAGAGAGGGGGACTGGGATGGGGTGGGATTCCTCACAACTCCTGCCTCTCCCAGCTCTACGAGAAGCTGAACGACAGGATAGAGGACTACCAGCAGAAGGTCAGCACGGCCACCGTGGAGCGCCTGTACTGCCACCCCTAGTCCAGGTGACGTCCCCCGGGAGCGTCACCGTCCCAGCCCGCGGTGCTGGATGTACTCGTCGTTTTTCCAGAAGGAGGGTTGTCCCTTCAGCGTGTCCCCTCACTTGTCCCCCCCGAGGGGCAATGGGTGATGAGCAGGGCTGGGGGGTCACTGACGCGACACCCGCTCGCTCTCTGCCTGCTCCGGACGTGGAACTTTTGGGAACTTCTTTTATTTATTGGTATGTTTTTGGATGAACTTTAATAAAATGGAAGCGTTATTCCAGGTGTGCATCGGGGTGGGGTGGGAAAAGGGGGGGCTGTGAGGCTCCTCTCCCCAGACCCCTCCCTACAGCCCTCACTCTAGGGCTGGGATATAGGGCAGGATGGAGCTGTAGGGCCCAGGAGAGAGGGGGCTCTATCCCCGATGGATATAGCTCAGGGGAAGGGGGTATAGGGTAAGAAGGGGCTATAGCCCCTTGGAAAAGCTATAGGATTATGCTGTAGGATAGGATGGAGCCACAGCTCTGGAGGGCAGCACGGGGCTATAGACTCAAGGGCAGGCTGTGCTATAGGGCAGGAGAGGGCTAGGGGATAGGATGGGGCTACAGGGTCAAGGGCGGGATTGGGCTGTACATTGAAGGGCAGCCCTGTGCTCTAGGGCAGGAAGGGGCTATAAATGCAAGGACAGCCCGGTTTTATAGGGCAGGTTGGGGCTATAGGTCAGGAAGGGGCATTAAACCCTCATCCCTCCCACTTCTATAAGGCAGGAAGGGGCACCAATCCCATGCCTAGTCCCATTCCATGGGAGGGAAGGGGCACTATTCCGGCCTTTCTCCCGGTTCCACGGGCGGGAAGGGGCACC